AGAGCATTACATTTGCAAGTGCTTATGTCTTATCTACAAGCACCTCACCGGGTCATTTTGCTTATTATAGAACAAGAAACCGTAGTGTTTCAGTACCAAAGTTTTTTTATTTTTTTTATATTTCCATAAAGTTCGGGGTGTAACAGATGCAGCTGGTGTAATGGTAGTGTATCGAGAAGGTAGTTGACTTTTCTCATCTGGTAGTGTTCAGACCAAAAGCCTCTTAACAGAATGGTTTGTGAGTGAAACTTTTCTAATTATCCTCTATCGATCCCATTCTTATATTCTTAATTCAAACATTTATTCATACAAACACACACACACACACACACATACAAATACTGGTATGTTTTCCCTTCATAAAAAAAAAAAAAAAAGATAGCTTGCAGATATTTATTTTTTTTTGTTCCATCTGTTGCCTCTTGTCCAATAAACACACAATCGCTCCTATTTTACCCAAGTGCAGTCTCACCATCAGCATTTATTCCGTAAAAACATTAACCGTACCATCGCAATAAATGGATGGATAAAATACCCTTACTTTCATTCTTGCATTTTTTCCAACCGCCCCCTTTCACCCCAGCTGGTCCCCCCTGCTGCTTTCCCCACAGTATGTAACAGTGACACAAACTTGTCCTTGGTGTAACAGCTGAGAAGACGGAACCAAAAAAACACAAAAAAACAAAGAGGGTGGGAACGAGGTGTTGGTGAGGGGAGACGTAAGGGGGAAGAGATGGCGAGTTCTTCTCTTTGAGAAGAAAGTGATAAGAAGGACTGTATCTGTCCGCTCGTCCGATCCCCCCGCCCCCAAATCTTTCTGATGAAGAGGAGGGTGATGGTGTAGGGGGAAAAGGGAGGTGGATGGAGGTGCAGAGGAGAGAATAGAAGGAGAGCAGGGGTGAAGTGCGTTGCTCTTCATGTGTCCTGGCCATCGGTGGCGTCGTTGGCATTGGACAAGTCTGAGTCCGTTTCCCGATTGGCTATGCGATCCAGCTCTGCCTGGACGTCGCTCAATCCCAGCTTTGAGCCTGCAGTAGTAAAAATAAATTGCAAAGGATTAAACATTTCTGCATTTTCTTCCCCTCACCATGCAATAAGCAGTGTTTTAAATGCACATGATTGAAAAAAGGAACTGGGTGAAACTAGGGTAGATTTAGCCTAGCCTAGTTTAAATCTATATAATCATCATATATGATTCATGTGTATGAGGACTACCTCCATTTAATTCTAGCGAGTTTACAAATGAATGCTAACATCACAGGAGGCCACTGTGCTTCAAGTGGTCTCATTGTGTCTGAACTCATTAGCAGAAAAGAAGAGCAGCCGCTGCTGTCGTGGTGCTGCAGCTAAGAATAACAGCAGCCAACACTGACAAGAATAATCCCTGAATGGTAGCAGAAAATCAATAGAAAGCCACAGACTGTTACAAAGAAGCTAAGCTTGATCAATTCCAGGCCTACTTAGCTAACATATAGTGCCAAGCGATTAGAGTATATACAACCTTTTAGGGTTTCTCTTTTTTCTTTTTTTTAAAAACGCATTTAAATTCAGCCTGCTTGAGCCAATACAGCTGCCAGCCCGATTAGTTTATCTTTCTATCTAAAAATTTACTTTTCAACAGCCTTTTCAGAGAAATAACTTAAATTAGATCAAATTCAACTCTCAGTGAACAGCAGTTCTCAAGTCTTACCACGCCATTTTTAAATGGGTTAAGGTCTGTACTTTGATTAGACAATTCAAAAACATGAAAACCTTTTCCAAAACTAGTCCTTTGCGGTTTCAATTTGCTGAAGAAAAGCCACAGCATGATGCTGACAGCATGTTTCCCAATGTTAGGCATGTCCAAACTCGGCACCTTGATGGTTGCTGTCCTGCAGGATTTAGAGGTTTCTGCTTCAGTAACGCTGATTTCCATTGATGGCTGATTATCAGGCTTTTGCTAAACTGACATCATCAGAATCAGTGCTGAAGCCAGTAACATTGAAAACCTGTAACCCCCGGCTCATACCGACTCCGGTCTTTGTGGGGTGCGGTGGTGCGGCGCCGCAGTGATTTCAAGTCATTAAAAAGACGTAAACCTCTCTCACCGGCTGCTGAGCTGTCCGGCTGCGGTTACCGAGACACTCCGGCGCTGCAGAAAATTCCGCAAGAAAGCTATCCTTGCGGCGTGCCGGAGCCCTCCGCAACAAGCTCTCGCAAATATCCTTATTTGGGCCGTGTTATCGCGTGAAGTTACGTGAACTCAAGTGAACTTCTGTTCTCGCGAGCTAAATCTCCGGACCTGTTGCCGGAGCCGCAGAGCCGCACCGCACCGTAGTCAAAAGGGCGGTGTGACAGGGGGTGTGCGGGAGTTGCGGTCTCCGTCGGCTCGGTAACCGCACCGGAGCCAGTGTGAGCAAGGGGTAAGACAGTGGCCCTTGAGGACTGACTTTTGACATTCCTGCCCTATGTGGAAGTGCATGTACAAGGGGGGTGTCGTAATATGGCTATTGGCCCTTACAGGATGTTGGATGTAGGTTGAAATATTACATTTTGTTCTATCTGATCAGAACACCTTCAGCCAAATGTTTGCAATGTCTACCAGACTTGTGACAAAACAGCATTTCTTTTATTTGTCCTGATATTTTGGCAATAAAGGTAAATTTGTGGAGTGAACAACCAACAGGTTCTGTTTCCTAAACTTTGGGTCTCAGCTGCTTTTCCAAAGTTACCATGGTTCTCTCTGCTGCTTATGCTCTCCTTGTCAAGCCTGTCAGTTTAAGTGCACAGCCATATTTTGTACCACAGTCTTTCCATCTTTGGATGGTAGATAGAACCGTATGCTAAGAGACATTTGAAGGACAGGATATTGTTTTATACGTTAACCCTGGCTCAAACTTTTTCGCAGATTTCTCCCTGACCTGGCTGCTGTCCATTGGCCTCCAAGAGGCCCTTTGCTCACCAATCTTCTTTAGCAAACATCCGAGGTCTTTAGAGAACAGCTGGATTTAAAATTAGATTAAATTACACACAACTGGGCTATTAGATCACTGAAAAGAAATTACTTCACTGGGCTATTTTAGGGATGTCAAACTGGGTTCAGTGCATAAACTCACCCCATTATTCACTTGCAATTTTGTTTATCATTTAAATAAACATACAACTTTCCTTCAGAATTACAGTTAAATAATATTTAGAGTCAATATTTAGAGTCAATCTACTCAATAGATGGAAAGCTGAGCAGCCATTCCTTAGTGAACAATGAGCCTAACCTGATATGTTGAACTGCCCAGCCTTAGTTAGAATCATGTGCATCGACTGCTGCAGGAGTTAATGATGGGAAATGCATTGCAACATGCGAAGAAAAACAAAACACTCATCAGTGGAAAAAAATTTGCAAAGGAAAAGGAGCAAGGTACAAAAACAGGGGAACGTGCAACGGCTATGATTCACGTCTTTTTGCCTTTCTGCTGATAGACACATTCAGACTGACTGCATCTGCTAAAACCCAATCAGCAAATAAACACTGAATTATACAAGATGATCACATATATAAGCTGTTTTATAATTCCTATCGGTATACATTTAGGCAAATAAAACCTGCTGATTACCAAAAAAGGCATAACTTGAAAAAAGGGGAAAACAATATTGATAACTAAACATTTTCCATTAGGTCAATGGAGGGTCAGAAGAGGGAGGAGGGTTTGGTGAAAAATAAAAAGGTAAAAAAAAAAAAAATCAAATCAAATGGGAGCAGTAATAAAGGAGAAATATCTTGCTCAAACACACCTTAACGTGGCCAGCATCCTCTGACTAGTGCATACAGACATTATGAATGGAGTGGAGGAGAAGTAGGAAAATACAGATAATGGGAGCTGGAGTGAAGAGGTGTGACTATGGATGGAAATGTCCTCAAGCACAATTATCTAACATGTAACTCTATAAAGACCAGTGGAAAAAAAGAGAGATTTTGTATTCCCACCTGACTTCCGTACAGTTCCTGGAGTGTTGTTACCACCTGGTGTCCCAGGCCCTCCTGTCCCGGCTTTCTTTGTCAGTAGACTGTTGAAGAAATTGGCCAGCACGCCCTCACTTGTCTGACCTGTGGCGCAAAAGAGGTAGACATTTATGTAGCACATAAAATATATATATATTGAAAAAATATTGAAAGGACAGAAGGGTAAACAAAAACAGGTGACTGCATACCTGACTGCGGCATGGCGTTCGCAACGTTGGCCGCCGCCGAGCGATTGCTTGTTCTTGGGGAGCCAGTGGGTGCCCTGCTAGTGGTGTCCTACAGATCAGAGAGAAAAATAAATAAAAGTCACACAAATGGAAAGACATAGGAGGAGGGTTTCTTCATCTGAGCCAAAAAACAAACAAAAATGTTACTCACCACTGGTCGCCCTGGTGTCACAGCGGGCTGTTTGGCAAGCAGCGACTGAAAATTAGAGGACAATATGCACACTCACCCCAATTAGTACCTAATTAACATATCAAGACCCTCAAGACAGATTTAATTTGTAGGCCCACAAGCAATAGACCAGCATTCTTCAACACAGTGGAAATGCTTTCATACCTGAAGCTTTACCAGAAACACTTGGTCATCTTCCGCCTGAATCTCCTTTTCATGGACAATCTGTAGAAGAAGACAAACATTTCACAGTGGAGTTTTCTGAAACCTGAAGATCTGGGTGCACCTGGCAGTTTCTACAGGCCAACTTCCTTGTCTTCACATTTTATCAACAAATACTTCAGTGCATTTTATGGTTTTCTTAAATCTAACACAAAGTATTTCCAAGAACATAAAATGGAGGGAAAATGATGACTGCAAGCTAATATAAAAGTGTAGCTTGCAGTTTATTAGCTCATTTACCAGGAGACCTTGAATAAAATCTAGTGCAAACATTTGCCTTAAGCCATCAACACGTTAAAGAAAGACTTTCTGTAAAGGTAAAAGAAGTTTGCTAGAGAAGACTAAAGGGCTTGTTATACTACCTGCAGCAGTGTGTCGCAGTGAGCTTGATGCAGATATTTTTGATTTATGCCCAATTTTACTCCACACCACAACACAAGAGGGACAATCACTAACTAGCTGTTGGTGTAGATACAGCCAAGGCGGTGAGGAAGTGAGAGCAAGTTTATGTAACAATGGAGGGACATGAGGGTGAAAAAGAGCGTGGATCAAGATGGAAAAAGGGTCCCAGCGTTCTCTAGCACCTTGCTCTTCTAGATGGTCCATCTTTACAAGTCGTTTTCCACAATCGCGGTAAGGCACCAAACAGGAGATATACGCGTAGTGTAGAGCGGATATAGAATTGACCAATCAGACTCTCTGCGGCACTGTCTGCAGTCACCTACAATTTTGGAGAGGTGCACCAGAGTGTCTGGGGCAGGGCCGGGGGCATATCTGCATTTCTGAGTATAAATCAGGCTTAATGAGCAACACAGCATCAAGAAGACCAAAGAACACAGCAGGCGGGACGAGGAGAAGGATGTAAAGAATTTTAAAGCAGGATTATAAAAAAAGTTCTGAGCTTTAAACAAGACCAGAAAGAGTATGGTTCATCTGCAAGCCCAAGAGATTATAGCCATAATCTCAAAGGGTATTCAACAAGAGCTTTAGTCGCAAAAGCAGCCATGGTGTCTCTGTAGAGGCTGGAGAGAACTACAGCTGGGAAGGTGTGTTGACAAGGCTGCATTTTCTTTTCTTTTTTTTTTTTTTACAACTGACAAATCTGGTTGTCATAAAGTAGTGGCAAGAAGAAAGGCATTGTTGAAAGAAATCCCTAAGAAGTGAAATTCCTATGCTTGACGTTTTCTTTCCACAAATAATACTCCAAGAAAAACCTGTTAGAAGCTTTAGAAATCTGGAAACAGGCCCCAGCCAGATAAGACCCACTGATCTCTATTTATTCACTGGATTGCAGATAGACCGAAAAAAATGAAGTAATCTGCCACCATCTTGGTACTCCCCACTTTCACAGAGTTGCACCATAAAAATGCCTGTAATCTAATGTAATGTAATTACCGTATTTTCAAGACTATAAGGCGCACTTAAACGTCTTTTTTCCCCCTCAAAATGTGCGGTGCGCCCTATGGTGCGGTGCGCCCTATGGTGCGGTGCGCCCTATGTGTGTTGTAACTGCGACTTTTGAGACCACCTCATTGAGGAGATGATGAAAGAGTGGCTGAATGTAAGGAGACCAGGTGTTTTTTTTCCACTCA